CTGACCTCAGGTGATCTGCCTGCCTCAGCTTCCCAAAGTACTAGGATTACAGGCATGAGCCACTGCACCCAGCCATACATTCTTGAATTTGTCTTTAGGTCTCTGTAAACTGGTATTTCTGTTGGGTTTATACCCAGGACTGGAATTGCTAGGTTATAGGGTATACGTCCGTGTACCTTTAGTAGATACTGTCAGTTTTTCAAAGAGATCATACAAATTTACAGTGTTTGAGACTCCAGATGTTCCACTTTCTTGCCAACATTAGGATTATCCATTTTTATATTCTCAGCTATTCTAGTGAGGGTCTAGTGGTATCTTATTGTGGTTTTAGTGTGCGTTTCCTTGATGTAATATTGTCCAACTTTTCTCATTGTTCATTGACCATTTGAATATCCTCTTTTGTGAAGTGCCTATTTAAGTCTTTCGGCCTATTTGTCATTAATTGGGTTGTCTGGTTTTCCTTATGATTTGTAGATCTTTATATATGTTGGCTACAAGACCTTTATTGGGTTTGTTTTTTGTTTGTTTTGAGACGGAGTCTCGCTCTGTCATGCAGACTGGAATGCAGTGGCACGATCCTAGCTCACTGCAACCTCTGCCTCCCAGGTTCAAGCAGTTCTCCTGTCTCAGCCTCCCAAGTAGCTGGAACTACAGGTACACGCCGCCACACCCAGCTAATTTTTGTATTTTTAGTAGAGAGTAGTGAAAGTTTTGTATTTTTAGTCAAGCTGGTCTCAAAAGTCCTGACCTCACATGATCCGTCTGCCTCGGCCTCCCAAAGTGCTGGGATTACAGGTGTGAGCCACCACGCCCAGCCCCTTTGTTGGGTTTTTGTATTGCAACTATCTTCTATTTTGTGGCTTGCCTTTTTCCTATCTTAACAGTGTCTTTTGATGTACAGAAGGTTGTAATACTCAGCTAGTCAATGTCAATCTTTTGGTGGTGGGGGAGCTAGTGCTGTTTGTGTCCTGTTTGAGAAATATTTGCCTACCCAAGCTTTATTGTTGTGCCTTTCCGTGATTCATATTGAATTAATTTTGTGCATGGTGTGAGGTTGGAGTCAGTGCTTATTTTCACCTGTATGGATATGCCGTTCCCCTGGCACCGTTCATGAAAAGATCGTTGTCCCTGCACTGAAGGTTAAACACATGCACATATGTTTGTGTGTGTATATATACAAATACACATATAACTGTGAATTTTTGTGCCCATATTTACAAACCCTGTCCTGAGTGTTGGACGTTGCTGGTTAACAGGTGCCTTGTGAATGTGCTTGCACCTGCATGTTTAGTGTATGTTGCCTTCATCGGTGTGGTGGGGCAGAACTCCTGGAGCAAACCCTGGCTGCACTACCCTAGGAAGTGGAGGGGCTCAGGTAAGACTGTGAACCCTGACCTTCCCAGTGACTCACAGGGGGCAGCCAGGTAGTTGAAGAAGAGGGGAGAGCTAAGAGAATTTCATATTCTCTGTGCCACCTGACATGCACACTCAACCTCCCACAAGAGCCATCAGAATCAGGAGCAGTGGTGGACAGTCCGGGAAAATGGACATGTGTAGTGCCTCTCCTGTGAGCCAGAGCTGGAGCTACTAGGATGGAGAAGATGCAGTCCCTGCCCTTTAAACTTGCCACTGGTAGGAGGAACACACCTAAACAAATAAACGGGTCACGGTCAGCAGCAATGCCAAAGGGCAGTTCTAGAGTTGAATGTGTTCTACCAGCTGGTGTGGTAATTAGGTAGAATTTACTGAATTTAGAGAGCCCACAAATGAGATGACTTTTTATCAGATTCTCAAAGCATTCACTAGAGACTGATAGAAGGGAAGTGAGAGGGAATTATTCTCTAAGGGAATAGCCTGAGCATGTCATTACCCCTGCACTCAGGTGAAGCCAGGTAGTGTGAGGCTGTATCAGGGTGAGGGACTTGGGTGTATGTAGCCTCCCCACCCCAAGTCCTGACTCAGGAAGAGCCATGAGGAGGACTGCCCTGGTGATCCTGGTGAGAGGGGATGGAGGTGTGGACAGACAGTATGGCTTTGAGAGAACTTCATAGAGTTGTTTGGGCCCACAGTGAATTAGCGCAGCATACTCCGCAGCTCCTAATTTCTGACTGGTTAGCAGTCTCAGAAACCCTGGTCTAGCTGCATTCTCCCTGTCTTGATGGACCACATGTGGAGCACTGGCATGCCTCCTCCTAGATGCCCACAGGCATCAGAGTAAGTTCTTACTGGAGAAGGCCCTAAAAGATTATATCAGAGCAAGTTCAACACAGATTTGCCCTTTTGTTATTTAGAAATTGTATTTACAATGTCAGGTCACTTTGTAGCTCACCTTTCCATTTTAAAGAGGCGTTCCTTGTACTTTTGTTCTGCATGCTGCTTTGTTACAATGGATTTGCAAGGTTTTATTTCTTACACAGTGAGAATCTGGTGACTAAACCTCAAGGGCCATAATGTCCTTTGGAACATTGAGATTTGCCTCCCCCAGTTTGCACATATTGTTTGTTAATTGCAAAGATGATATATGCCTATTGGTTAAAAATTGAGGCGTTATAGAAGTGAAGAAGTAAGAATGCCCTTGCCCCCACCTCCACCTCTGCTCAGTTCTTTAATGACGGTTACTTTTAAAGATTTAGTGAACAGCCTTCCAAACTTATTTTTATTACATATAAATGTATCCATGGGGCATGTGTGTTTTTAATAAAATGGAATCGTTATATACACTGTATAGAAATGGAGTCCTTTTTTTCTTTTTCTTTTTAATTTTTATTTTTTTGTAGAGACAAGGTCTCTCTTTGTCGTGCAGTCTGATCTTGAACTCCAGGCCTCAAGCAATCCTCCTCCCTCAGCTTGCGAGTTCTCAGGCGCGAGCCACCATGTCCGGTCCCTTTTTTTATTTTTTCCCTTAATTAAACTGTGTGTTGTAGACTTTTTTCAATAAGACATAGAGAGTTCTGTGTGCTTTTTAAGGGTTGCATAGTTGCCCATTATGGATATGTCATTATTTATTTTATCAATTCTTTTTTTTTTTTTGAGACGGAGTTTCACTCTTGCCGCACAGGCTGGAGTGCAATGGCGCAGTCTTGGCTCACGGCTCACTGCAACCTCCGCCTCCCAAGCTATTCACCTGCCTTAGCCTCCTGAGTAGCTGGGATTATAGGCGTGCACCGCCACACCCGGCTAATTTTTCTATTTTTAGTAGAGACAAGGTTTTGCCATGTTGGCCAGGCTGGTCTCGATCTCCTGACCTCAGGTGATCCACCCACCTTGGCCTCCCAAAGTGCTGGGATTACAGGCATGAGCCACTGCGCCCGGCCTATTTTACCAATTCTTTACTGAATTTGTCCTTAACATGTTTAGGTCTGTACAGTTGTATGAAAATGTCTGTAGGAAAAAGTTGTAGAAGTAGAATTGCTGGGGCAAAGGTAAACGCACACTTTACATTTTGAAAAGTATTTTCACATGATCCCCCCACAGGTCACATGAACTTACATTCTTCCCGGTACTCTGTGAAAGTGGCTGTTTCTCACAGAGTATTGGCATCATCATTCTAACTGATGGGTGAAAAATGTCTTACTGTTTTATTATTAGAGAAATTTAGTATCTTTTTAAATGCATAATAACCATTTGTACATCTTCATCTAATAAGAGCAAAATAAAACATTATAACTTTTTCCAGTGTGATTCTAAATAACTTCGTTAAATGTGTTTCTGTTCAGATGTTTTTCACTTTTATTTGAGTCAAGTCTGTCAATCTTTCCTTTTTGCTATGCTTAGGAAGACTTTACCTTTCCCAAGATTATAGAGAGTCTTGTTTAATTCTGGTCTTGAGGTCCACTGGAATTTATTTTTGTGAGTGATGTACAATAAAACTCTATTTCCATTTTTCTTCTTCTGTTTTTTTGAAACAAGAGTTTTACTCTGTCACCCAAGCTGGAATGCAGTGGCACAATCTCGGCTCACTGCAACCTCTGCCTCCTGGACTCAGGTGATCCTCTCACCTCAGCCTCCTGAGTAGCTGGGACTACAGGCGCACGCCACTACACCCAGCTTTTTTTTAAATTTTTTTGGTGGAGACAGTGTTTTGCCATATTGCCCAGGCTTATCCTGAACTCCTGTACTCGAGAAATTCTCCCGTCTCAGCCTCGCAAAGTGCTGGGATTACAGGCGTGAGCCACTGTGCTCAGCCCATTCTCTTCCTTAATGGGAAAGTCAGTTGCCCCACCTCCTTTATGAACAGTTCTTCTCATTGATGTGAAATACTACCAAATAATATGTTTTTTTTACTCTTTGTAATTTCCGATTGATCAAATAACTATTTACTGGGATCTTATATAAACGAAGACTCTAAGACTTTAGCTTTTTAGTAAATATTAAAATTATGTATTTTTGAAAAGGTCTCACTCTGTCACCCAGGCTGGAGTGCAGTGGCATGATCATGGCTCACTGCAGCCTCCTTCTCCCAGGTTCAAGCAATCCTCACACCTCAGCCACCTGAGTAACTGGGAATACAGGTGGGCACCGCTGTGCTCGGCTAATTTTTTAATTTGGATAGAGGCGAGGTGTCACTATCCAACCTGAGTTTGCCCAGGTTGGTCTCAAACTCCTGGGCTCAAGCAATCCACCCACCTCAGCCTCAAATTAGTGGGATTATAGGTATGAGCCACCACACCTGGTGTAAATATCAAAATTATTTGATAAAATATTTACTAAAACTAGAAATGGTTTCTATAGCCTAAAGTTACAAAGAAATAGGACTGAAAACACACTAAATGTAAAATGGAAAAAATTTTTTAGCTTTATTTTGTTGCCAGTTTCTGTGCACAAATGCTTCAGACTCTTTTTTTTTATATAGCTTATAAATCTTAGTTATACACTGGAAGACAAAGTGAAGCAACAAATAAAGTTTTGTGTGTGGGAAAGTAGTTTTATGCACAGTTTTCATAAACCCTTGCTGTTTAGTCATTCGGTCCTTGTTATTTTTCCCACCTCTCTCTACACAGCCTAAATGTGATGGCCAGATATTACTGACACAAGTGTGGAAGCATTTGAATCTGGTAGAATGTGACTACTTCGGGTTGGAGTTTCAAAATACTCAGTCCTACTGGGTAAGTGCTTTGATTTGTTAGGGAAACAGGCCCTAGGCATGCAGTAGGATGCTTATGATGTGCCCAGGCATGGAGCCTTCGGGCCTGCTGTGATGATACCCACAAGATCTTTTATAATTGTCATATCATCAGTATCAAATATTTTTGCTATTAAAATATATTACTGTTAGCTGTAGATAATATATTTGCCTTTAATCCAAGCCTGAATTCACACCCTCCCTAAATTTGTTCTGTCATTAGCACATGTGCCAAGGAAACTCTCTTAAAAGTTATAAAAGCAACTTCTAATACATCCTGTATGAAAATCATTTTGAAAGTGGATTTGTAGCAAACAACCAGTTATGCCTCATTTTACTTAATAGATGCAACCTTAAAAAGTGTGGGGTTTTAATATTTATAGATAGAACTGTTTTAAAGAACCATACATCTACCCTTTAGTTCAAAAAGCATGTCAGCATTATTAAGTTCTGTCCAGCCTTTCAGATACCCTTGGCAGTGCAACCGGATTTATCCAAGTTTCCTGTTCTGGTGACATGACGTACCTCTTTTTTACAGAAGCCCTCTCATCAGTTTGTTCATAAATGCAGTAGTACCAAATATTTGTTTGGTGTTAACAAATTCCCGCAAATAATTATTGGGACCCATTCTGTGCATGGCAGCAACTGAATGGAGGTATCCAGTATAATACAGCAATTTTAATGTCTTCCCAGGTTTCCCAAAGCAGGCATTGCTGTGCTTCTTGTACAGTTTGTTTTATCAGGATTCAACTTTTAAGAGGGGGTAGAGTCAAAATGTTCCTGACATAAAAATTTATCTAATTATAACCATTTTTGTTTTTATAGCATATTTGTTAAATAGAGACATTATTTAATAGATTGGATTTCTTCTGTTAACCCTTCTTTAGATTTGGCTTGAACCTATGAAACCCATCATTAGGCAAATACGAAGTAAGTCCTTGGTTTAACTCTTTAAAATCTGTTTGTTTAAGATGCTTTGTCCTGGAATGTTTAAAAGGCATGTTCAGATGTTCATTGTCACCACTGTGTATGGTTAGCAGGAAGTGATCACCAACAGCAGATAAACTTGGAAGTCATTTTGCTGTTTGGTTTTAGTAAATTTAACTCAGAAGATTCTAGGTGACTTGCTTCACATTTGGAAATAAGAGCATATGCTGTTTGATATCATCTTAATTTTTGGCCAATATGCAAAAATAACTGCAGTTTCTCCCTTGATTGTGAAAAGACATTGAGGTTCTCCTTTTAAATAGCTTTTAATAAAATAGTTGATACTATTTTACAGTTATAAACATAATTGTAACTGTGAATATAATAATAACAATTTTATTATTATTTTTGAGACAGGGTCTCGCTATTTGTTGCCAGGCTGGAGTGTAGTGGTGCGAACACAGTTCTCTGCAGCCTCAACCTCCTGGGTTCAAGCTGTCTTCCCACCTCAGTCTCAAAATAATTATTTTCATTTGTCTACTTACTAAATTTTTTAAATTAAAACAAATAGTAACACTTCTCAGTTCTTCTATAATTGTGTCAGATGAAGTCTATAGTTGAGTCACCCATAATTTTTTGTATTACTATTATAAATTGAAGAAAAAGGTGTGGAAATAACTTTGTTATATCAGAACAAGGATCTCTGAGGGAAGAAAACAAAATAAGTTGTTTTATACTGATAAACTAAGATAATGTACCTTTACAGTAATCAGATTTCAAAAATAATTTTTTTTATTACTACTACTAATACTGGCCCGTTGTGGTGGCTAATGCCTGTAATTCTAGCAATTTGGGAGGCCCAAGCGGGCAGATCACCAGAGGTCAGGGGTTCGAGACCAGCCTGACCAACATGGCGAAACCCTGTCTCTACTAAAAATACAAAATTTAGCTGGACGTGATGGCGCATGCCTCTAATCTCAGCTACTCAGGAGGCTGAGGCAGGAGAATCGCTTGAGCCTGGAAGGTTGCAGTGAGCCGAGATCGTGCCGCTGCACTCCAGCCTAGGCAACAGAGACTGCATCTCAAAAAAAAAAAAAATAGTGTAAACACATAAACTTTTTTTAAAAAACTTTTTCATTTATCATTTTTTTCCCTAAAACATAAACTGGGGGCTGGACGCGGTGGCTCACACCTGTAATCCCAGCACTTTGGGAGGCCGAGGTGGGCAGATCACGAGGTCAGGAGATCGAGACCATCCTGGCTAACACAGTGAAACTCCGCCTCTACTAACAGTATAAATTAGTCAGACATGGTGGCAGGCACTTGTAGTCCCAGCTACTCGGGAGCCTGAGGCAGGAGAATGGCATGAACCTGGGAGGCAGAGCTTGCAGTGAGCCGAGATCGCGCGCCTACACTCCAGCCTGGGTGACAGAGTGAGACTCTGTCTCAAAAAAATAAATAAACTAGGGAAAAAAATTTATCTCTGTCTCTATATATATGTATGTGTGTGTATATATATATATATAGAAAGAGAGAGAGCACGCACAAGCATGTTTGTGTGTGGAGGGGTGGGCGGAGTCTCGTTCTGTCACCCAGCCTGGAGTGCAGTGGTGTGATCTCAGCTCACTGCAGCCTCTGCCTTCTGAGCTCAAGCAGTCCTCCCACCTTGGCCTCCCAAGTAGCTGGGACTTCAGGCATGCGCCACCACATCTGGCTGATTTGGGGTTTTTTTGGTGGGAAGAGGGGAGCGGGTAGAAATGGGATTTCACCATGTTGCCCAGGCTGGTCTGAGACTCCTGGGCTCAAGTGATCCGCCAGCCTCAGCCTCCCAAAGTGCTGGGATTACAGATGTGAACCACTGTACCCAGCCTATTTAAATATTTTAATGTGCATCTTCCTACTTGTTTTTAAGGCTTCCTTGAGTAATCCCTGCTTAATGCAAAAGATTTTAAAATTGTGTACATATGTGATTGGTACTTGGGACTCAAATTCATATACAGGAAATGCTTCTTTGTTTTTTCTTTTTTCTTTTGTTCAGAGACAGGGTCTCACTCTCCTGCCCAGGCTGGAGTGCAGTGGTGCAGTTGTAGCACACTGCAGCCTCAGACTACTGGTCTCAAGCCTTCTTTTCACCTCAGCCTCCCAAAGGGCTGGGATTACAGGCACACACCACCACACCTGGGCAGAAATTTCTTAATATCATATTATTTGAAAAGATTTGCTGTAACAGTCCACTTGGAAGCATGACCTCAGTTATGTAGTAATATATGAAAAGAGAATAAATGCAAAGATTGACCTTAATTGTGAAGTTTAAATTTTTTTTTTATAGGGCCAAAGAATGTGGTGCTTCGCCTAGCTGTGAAATTTTTCCCACCTGATCCTGGTCAGCTACAAGAAGAATATACAAGGTAAAGAGTTCGCAGAGCTGAAGCTGTTGTCAGCAGGAATCTTGTATTCACCTGTTATCTCCCACAGCACCTGGCTCATTGAAAGAATGAGTGAGCCTAATATACACAGAAAAGTGGTCATGAATGTAGAGTGGTTAAAGGAAGCATGTTAGCAATTGACCCGTGCACAGACATGTGAATAAGAGTTCAATGTAAGGTTTACAGTACAAATCTGAAAATGACAAATGGAATGGGATGTCAGGGTCATGTTGAACTTACATTTTCCAAATGAACACAGACTTATGCATGTTCAGAATGTTCTCAGGGATGGATTTTACTCATATGTACTCTTCTTTATCACAAAATGTACTTAATGGGTAGAAGTACCCAGTGTGTTAGTCCTTAGGAATTTATGGAGCAGAAATATTTTGGGTCGCTTCTTTTGTGATACTATTTTGAATTAAAGATCGATTCTTTATAGGAATGATCTAAAGATGGCAGGATGTGATGGCTCACGCCTGTAATCCCAGCACTTTGGGAGACCAAGGCAGGCAGATCACTTGAGGTCAGGAGTTCAATACCAGCCTGGCCAACGTGGCAAAACCCTGTCTCTACTAAAAATGCAAAGAAAATTGGCCAGGCGCGGTGGCTTATGCCTGTAATCCCAGCACTCTGGGAGTCCAAGGCAGGCGGATCACGGAGTCAGGAGATCGAGACCATCCTGGCTAACACGGTTTTGAAACCCCATCTCTAGTGAAAATACAAAAAATTAGCCAAGCGTGGTGGCGGGCCCCTGTAGTCCCAGCTACTCAGGAGGCTAAGGCAGGAGAATGGCGTGAACCCACGAGGCGAAGTTTGCAGTGAGCCAAGATCACACCACTGCACTCTAGCCTGGGCAGCGGAGCGAGACTCCGTCTCCAAAAAAAAAAAAAAATCATCTAGACATGGTGGCAGGCACCTTTAATCCCAGCTAATTGGGAGGCCGAGGCAGGAGAATCTGTTGAACCCAGGAGGCAGAGGTTGCAGGGTTGCAGTGAGCTGAGGTTGCGCATTGCACTTCAGCCTGGGCAACAAGAGTGAAACTCTGTCTCAAAAAAAAAAAAAATGTTAACAGTTGTTTCATCTGGACAGTAAGGTTTTTTCTCTAATGCTGCAAAGAAACATTGTTCACATACCTTATATTATGAAGAATAGAGGAATAATCTAAAAACCAACTGAAAACCCAAGGTGAGATATAAAAGAGAACGATGATGTTGTAGTGGTATCAATAACTTCTTTGCCTTCTGGCTAAACGTGTACTCATAAATGAATCAGATGTCTTATGAACTCTCTTGTAAAGGTTTCTGCATATCATTTTAACAGCACAAAATCATAGCATGTCAACTGCAAGGAAATGGAGAGAACATATTAGTTCAGCCTCTTATTTTTAAAAGTTTAGGAAACTAAACTCCAAAGACGGCAAAAAGTATTTTTATGCGTGACCATAGATCTTAATAGTGTATTAAATGCCTGACGTTTACCCAAAAAAGTCTCTCTTGGGGGAATCACTTTTAAATATATATATATATCTAGATAGATAGATAGACAGATAGATAGATAGATATCTGAAAATGATGGATAACAAAGTGTCGCCTAATTCAGGATCCTAGGTCTCAAGTTCTGGGACTCATGCTGGTAACTCAGTGTTATAGTTACTCCCTTCTCCCCCGTATTTATATAGAGGATTCTTTTTTCTGTTATAAAAACATACATGTTTGTGGTAAAAGAATTTTTTTTCCAAATAAAGCTAAGGGCCAGGTGCAATGGCTTACACTTGTAATCCCAGCACTTCAGGAGGCCAAGGTGGGAAGATCAAGTTCAAGACCAGCCTAGGCAACATGGGGAGACCTCATCTCTACAAAATATCAAAAAATAAGCCAGGCGTGGTGGTGTGCACCTGTGGTCCCAGCTACTTTGGAGGCTGAGGCAGGAGTATCACTCGAGCCCAGGAGGTCAAGGCTGCAGTCAGCTGTGGTAGTGCCACTACACTCCAGCCTGGGCAATAGAGTGAGAGTCTGTCTCAAAAAAATAAGTAAACAAAGATAAGTAAAAAGTAGAAGTTCTCCACTTACCCAGCACCTTATTCTCCGCGTAAGTACGTATCTTTCAGATGAAAGCATAGATGTACAATAAACACACAGCTGTAAGAACTTTAAAGAAATTACAAATATTATAAAACAATATCAAATGATACATATTGAACTGTAGGTTGATTTTTTCCCCCACTTACTAAGCATGCTGTGGACATTTTTCCATATTGTATATAAAAGTATACTAAATTAGGCTGTAACATAATTTAATCATTCTCATATCCATGTTTCCAATTTTTCTCTAATGCTGCAAAGAAACATTGTTCACATACCTTTGAAAACTATGGGAATATTACTCTAGGAAAGTTTGTAGAAATGGAATTGTTGTTACAGGGTATGTACAACATCCTGAATTTTAAGAGAATGTAGTAAATTTTAATAGTGCGCACTGGGGCATGAATTCCACTGGGGGGCGGGGAGTTGGTCTTGCTTACCGTTGCATGTCCAGCTCCCAGAACAGTACCTAGAACATAATTCACGCTCAGTAATTATTTGCTGATGGAATAAATGAACATATAGATATTTTCAATACATTCTCACTAATGATATTCAAAAGTGCCTGTTTCTCAGATCCTAGCCAAGACCAGATATTATTAATCTGTTAAAAAATTTTACAACCTTGCTTTAAGCTGTGTTTTCATTGGATATTTCTCCTGTTTCATCCAAAATTGTGAGTGCAGTTTTGTGTGACTAACAGAAGTAATGTGAATTTGTGACCTTCCCTCCTTGAAGGTATGGCTGCAGATGTGTAATTATATGGGTAGATGGTATGCCTGAGAAAGCTATTTCTTTTTTTTTTCCAGAGTTTTGCTCTTGTTGCCTAACCTGGAGTGCAGTGGTGTGATCTCAGCTCACTGCAACGTCTACCTCCGGGTTCAGGTGATTCTCCTGCCTCAGCCTCCCGAGTAGCTGGGATTACAGGCGTGAACCACCGTGCCCGGCTGGTTTTTGCACTTTTCGTACAGACAGGGTTTCACAATGTTGGTCAGGCTGGTCTCGAACTCCTGACCTCAGGTGATCCACCCACCCCAGCCTCCCAAAGTGCTGGGATTACAGGAGTAAGCCACTGCCCCCGGCCAATTTCTTTTTTTTATTGTTTGCATCAGAGTGCCTCAGTGTGTTCAGCACTTTCTGTGCACTCTCCCATGTGTGTGACTCAGTCTGCTGAGTTGGTTTGTCATCTGACCTTTGCTTGGTGACTGTTTGTTTCATGAAAGGCCTTTTGTGACTTTGCTGTTTCGTGACCGCCTTGCATTTTGCTCACTGTTGGGTCACTGCCACTTCCCAGGGCTCATTTGCTGTCTTGCTGTGGAGACATGTCCGTGTTACATTCAGAGAACATTTGGAGTTGATCTCTGTCTTATTTTGAACTCTCTTCTAGATACTTGTTTGGCTTGCAACTTAAGAGGGACCTGCTGGAAGAGCGTTTGACCTGTGCTGACACCACAGCGGCCCTTCTCACGTCCCATCTTCTGCAGTGTGAGTATCTCCCTGCTAGCAGGGAGCATGCACTGGCCATGGCACAGATGTACCCACACTCAGAACTACAATTAGTTGCTGATGTACATGCCTAGTTAATGAGCCTGACCATAGAATGCTGTGTTTCAATTTCAATATTTTTTATAAGCAAAAGGTTAACTTCTATAAAGTGGAATTCCTTGAGGCAAATAGTTTCCACATAGCAAACAGGCCAAGGCCAAAATCTGTAGCCACATTCCTTCTTTTGGGTTGTCTGTCATTTATGCTTTTGTGCATTTTACCAGCAATGCATATTCAGTCTTTAAGAGTCAGAATATAAACCAAACTCTCAGCAAACCCTGGAAAGGGCCTCACTGGGATAAAAGTTACAGCCCTCTCAGATTAGTTAAGCATTAGCCATGAAGGAAAAAGAAGACATTTGTTCAGTATCTCACACAGATCAAGAGATGGTTCAGAACTGTGTGAAGAATTACAGTTACTTCAAAAATAAACCATGAGAAGTGTAAGAGGGGGTTCTGGAACCTTGCCGAGCCCCCAGCGATGGGAATAGAAAAACAAATACCCACAGTGCTCCTGGACTAGGGGTGGGACCACAGCTTCCTAGCACAGAACTAATGTTTCTGAAATTTGAATGCAGGAAATATGACATAGAAAGTGTCCAAAATTTTAGGAATTAATAAGTATATAGGTTATTTGCAGCTTCCTTGGTCCTTCCCCAGATATACCTTCTTCAAATAATAAATTTTATTGTGGGTTTGCTGTCCTCCACCAGGGGACATGTTGATTAATAAAAGTTTTCAAAGTGACTTTGGTTCTTATTCATTTGGCTGAAAGACTTATCGGGTAGACACATGGCAACAAATACAACATATGACTGAACCAGATCTTTTTGCTGTAAAAAACATAATTGGGCAGTTGGTAAAATATGACTAGGGGCCACATCTGGAATGGAGCCTCAGATCATGGCCTGTTCCTGATCTGGGTAGTTTTACAAGGCTGCAGGTAAGAATATTGTATTAGTCCATTTTCACACTACTGATAGAGACATGTGGCAGCAGCAAGAGAGAGCTTGTACAGGGAAACTACTCCTTATAAAACCATCAGATCTCACGAGACTTATTCACTATTACGAGAACAGCACGGAAAAGATCCGCCCCCATGGTTCCGTTACCTCCCACTGGGTTCCTCGCACAATTTGTGGGACTTGTGGGAGTTACAATTCAAGATGAGATTTGGGTGGAAACACAGCCAAACCATATCAAATGTCCTAGCTTCCAGAAAGTCCGTACTGAAGTATGGCAAGTAACATGTTAGCAACTCACTCTCAAGTGGCTCAGAGAAGGAAAAACTCTTGTACTGTGCTTGTAACTTCTCTGTGAATATGAGATTGTCTAAAAATAAAAGCATATTGCTTTAAATTATTGGACTTTATGTTATTAAGACATTGTGGCCTTAAAATACATGAAATTAGAAAGAGACATTATTCATCAAGAAATTTGAGAAGGTCTGAAGGAAAAAATCACTTAAAATACATTATCCTAAAATAAATAAAATACTTCATCCTGATCATGATAATCTTGAGACAACTTAGGTTTAAGGTGTGGTTTAAAAATAATAATACTCCAGGTACAGTGGCTCATGCCATACTCCCAGCACATTTGGGAGGCCAAGGCAGGAGGATTGCTTAAGTCCAGGAGTTTGAGACCAGCCTGGGCAATGTGGCAAAACCTTATCTCTACAAAAAATACAAAAATTAGCTGGGCATGGTGGTGCTTACCTACAGTCCCAGCTACTTAGGAGGCTGAGGCGGGCAGATTGCTCGAGCCCGGGAGGTTGAGGCTGCATTGAGTGGTGATCGCACATTGCACTCCAGCCTGGGCAACAGAACGAGACCTTGTGTCAAAATAATAATAAACAGATTAAACTCATCATTCAATGTTTGCCTCCCTGGAGGTACTCATCAGGCCTTTGTTCTTCAGGAAATCCTCTTCACTTCCCATTATATTTGCCTTTTAACAGCATAAAATATTTGGAAAAATAAAATACAAAATCTTGCTTTTTTAGGGATGTATTATTTTGCTACAAATTTGGGATAATTTTTTTTTTTTTACTTTTAATGTATGCAGTGACATGTACAAATGCTTGTAGTTTATTTAAACATTAGAATTACTGACTTTTATCCTATCTCAGCGGAAATAGGAGATTACGATGAAATGCTGGACCGAGAGCACCTCAAAGCCAACGAGTATTTGCCTGGCCAGCAGCACTGCCTTGAGAAGATACTAGAATTCCATCAGAAGCACGTGTAAGTCATCACAATTGTCTATCGACACGTTGTCACCACAGTAATGACTAAAGAGTGTGTAACGAGAAAGGACTGTTGTCGTGACTTTTGCAAGATTCTGACATAAGGACCTTGCTCCCAGCCTCAGGATGTGCAGCTGCCGCCATAGACAGCTTGGCAGACACATAGAAGCTGCAGCCCTGGTCTGAAGCACCTTCACACCTGCATGATGTGCTGCTTTAGAAGGTGCTGGAAGAAGCTGGGCATGGTGGCTCACGCCTGTTATCCCAGCACCTTGGGAGGCTGAGGCAGGTGGATTGCCTGAGGTCAGGAGTTTGAGACCAGTCTGGCCAACATAGTGAAACCCCATCTCTACTAAAAATACAAAAAAATTAGCCGAGCTAATGGAAGGCACCTGTAATCCCAGCTACTCGGGAGGCTGAGGCAGGAGAATCGCTTGGACCCAGGAGGTGGAGGTTGCAGTGCGACAAGATCGCACCACTGCACACTCCAGCCTGGCAACAGAGCGAGACTCCGTCTCAAAAAAAAAAAAATGGTACTGAAAAAGACATCAGGGCCTAGGGGAGGAGGATGCTACTGAGCAGGATGGGGTGGCTGTTGTGGGGGTCTCAGCTGCTGCGGTGTCTCTGCAGCGTGGCAGGAAGAGTCCTCTGCGAGGAAGACACTGTGCTGTGGAGGAGGGGGGGACTGTGAGGCTGACAGTGTCGGCCTGTGTCAGGGCGTTAGAGGAGGGGGGGACTGTGAGGCTGACAGTGTCGGCCTGTGTCAGGGCGTTGGGAATCACCTGGCACCCATGTCCTTCATCTCGTCTTGTTTTGATTTCTCTGAGACTTGACACTGGTGGGTTTTTCTGGATGGAAGTGGTAGAGACCTAGAGAAAGAGTGCTAGCTAAGGGGAAAAGGATGGAAGAACAGTATGGGAAAGCGCTGTGGGCTCTGGCCCAGGTGGGTGGGAGCTTTAGTCACCAAAGGGGAGCACTCAGCTGGTGAAAGTGAGTCAGGAGGACTTAGCCTTGCCTTTGTGACACGTCCTTTTGAGATGCAGGTTTGTCAGATCATGTATGTTCATGTGTGTCGTTAAGGCTCTACTGGGACCTGCTGGCAGCTGCCCTTTCACACCTTCAGAGTATGAGTGCCAACGATGCATCCACCACTGCTGTCAGCACTGGGGAGTTAGTTTGAACAGCACAGACTGAGATGCCTACCCGTACAGATTTTACCTTACCCTGTAAGATGGTGTGCATTTCGTGCACCTCACCACTCCCAGTGTGGGGGATCTCTTGTGTGTGCAGGGGAGTGCCTTGTGTGTGCCCAACAGCATGGCAGTCATGAGATATACAAATCCATTGCTACAGATGAGAATGTGTGCAGTGTAGCAGGAGCATAGCTCATACACTATGAGCTGAAAGAAGGCTGAGGCGAGGCTCAAGGAGACTCGTGGGAGGACCTAGGCGGGCAGAGCCAGGAAGGAAGCATTCCATGCAAAGCACCAGCCTGGGAAGGGAGGGAGGAGAGGGAGGTTCCAGCGTGGCATGGACACGTTGGGTTCAAGGGCTGGAGGTGGAAGTGCCAACTAATACTGGAGAGGCCATGGTGGCAATTACGGACAGCTCTTACAAGCATTTGTGTGTAATCCTCAAATCCGTCTCATGGCATGCACGGTTTTACCCCATCGTACGTACGGTGAGACCGTGCGTGCAGAGTTCCCTCTCAGACATGACAGTGTGGGGCATCTTGTGTGCGTAAGTCGTTGCTTCTCCTCCATTCACCTGATCTGACCTTGAGGAGGCCTCCATGCAGGGCAGTGCGGGTAGAGCTCCTGCTCTGTTCTCCCGGGTACCCTTGGCTTTGCCTCTTTGAAGTGTTGCCATTATTCTGGCTGGTAGCGAGGAAGGTATAGCTATTCTGATTGTCACATCCAGACCTTGACCCATGGAGCCAAGGGCCCTCTCCTAGTGTTATGTGCCATCCCAGCAGGAAACGGTCTCTGGTTCAGTCTGTGTTCCTAGGGTTGGGGACAGTCTCTCCCTGCTGAGACACACAGCAGGGGCTGGACATGAGGAAGGGAGAACTGAGCATTGTGCTGTGAACTGTCCAACCTGAAGAACAGTCCCTAGTGGATGGGTGGGTTTGGGATGCTGGGGAGAGTGTTGTCAGCACGTAGGCCAGGTTAACCTGTGCAATGGGTGAAATCAGCTAGGCAGAGGACAGATACAGGTCAGAAAGGGTGAAGAGCCCAGGATGAACCCCTGAAGAACTGACATTTGAGAGGCCGAGTGCAGGAGGAGGCACCCACAGGAGCCTTCAGCAGCCAGAGGCATGGAAGGGCACAGGTGCCAAGAGAGCATGTTTTAGGATAGTGGCCACAGCCCCTTGTGTGGAGACTACCAGGCCTGGGGAGGTAGGCACAGGAGCAGGTTTCTGAGCTTGGCAGTGTGGCAATGCATCACCTTCAGCATTTTCAGTGAGTGTTGAGGGTGAATTCTAGGTTCAAGTACACTGAAAGTACAGTGAGGAGACAGTGACAACATTTTGGGGCACTTATGTTGAGAAGCCTGCTTGTGGAAGAAAGAACTGGACCCTCAGGGTAGTTCTGTGTGTGTGTGTCTGGGTGTGTTCTGTGTATACATGTGTGGCTGTGTGGTCGTATGTGCATGTGTGTTATATGTGTTCCTATGCATGCATTGTGTGTCTGTGTTTGGCTCCTATGTTCCTGTGTGTTGGTGTGTGTTCCTGTGTATGTTGTATACTGTGGTTATGTGTACTTGAACATGTGCGTGTGTCTCTGCGTGTGTGTGTGTGCTTACATGTGCACATGTATCTGCTAAAAACCCTATAAAACCAGTAAGAGAAGGGTGAGTCATGTGGTCTGCTTCATACGGGAATACAGTTGAACTCTTCCCAGATAAGCCGGGAAGCAGGAAGCTCTGCTCCACATCATAGGCCTTCACTGTGTTAATTTGAGAGTTTGTCTATCACAATCATCACAGCTTCATTGCACATCTGATTTCTTTTAATAGTTCTTTAGAGTTTTTACAACAATATTGTACCTTTGTTTTAATTATTATACAATTTTTACATTGTCTTGTGATTCTAATGGTTCTTCAGTGATCCACTGAAAACACCTTTATAATCACTGAGTAGTATATTAAAGAAGTGCTTTTCTTGACTGTATCACATTGCTTTTAGATCTTTGAAACTGCAGAAAAAAGCCAGGCACAGTGGCTCACGCCTGTAATCCCAACACTTTGAGAGGCCGACTGGTTTTGAGTCCAGGAGTTCAAGACCACCCTGGGCAACATGACAGAATCCTGTCTCTACAAAAAATTAGCCAACTGTGGTGGTGTGTGCCTGTGATCTCAGCTACTTGGGAGACTGAGGTGGAAGGATCGCTTGAGCCTGAGAGGTGGAGCTTGCAGTGAGCCAAGATTATGCCACTACACTCCAGCCTGGGCAACAGAGCGAGACCCTGTCTCTAAATGAGTGAGCGAGCGAGTGAGTGAGTGAGTGAGTGAGTGATAAAACAGGTTTACAAGACACAAATGTTTCAGATAGTAAAAAATATTTTTTAAAATGAAAAGGAAGGCCGGGCGCGGTGGCTCAAGCCTGTAATCCCAGCACTTTGGGAGGCCGAGACGGGCGGATCACGGGGTCAGGAGATCGAGACCATCCTGGCTAACACAGTGAAACCCCGTCTCTACTAAAAATACAAAAAAATTAGCCGGGCGTGGTGGCGGCGCCTGTAGTCCCAGCTACTTGGGAGGCTGAGGCAGGAGAATGGCGGGAACCCGGGAGGCGGAGCTTGCAGTGAGCCGAGATCGCGCCACTGCACTCCAGCCTGGGCGACAGAGCGAGACTCTGCCTCAAAATAAAATAAAATAAAATAAAATGAAAAGGAGTTGGCCGGGCGCAGTGGCTCATGCCCGTAATCCCAGCACTTTGGGAGGCCAAGGTGGGCGGATCACCTGAGGTCAGGAGTTTGAGACCAGCCCGGCCAACATGGCAAACCCTGTCTCTACTAAAAATACAAAAAGTTAGCTGGGCGTGGTGGCTCACGCCTGTCATCACAGCTACTCCGGAGGCTGAGGCAGGAGAATCCACTTGAACCTGGGAGGCAGAGGTTGCAGTGAGCCGAGATTGCACCATTACACTCCAGCCTGAGCTGCAGAGTGAGACTTCATCAAAAAAAAAAAAAAAAAGAAGAAAGAAAAGAAATACTGTAGATAACACTGCTATCTCATCACACTCATTTTCTTTCTTTTTCATTTTATTTTATTATTATTGTTATTATTATTTGATATGGAGTCTCGCTCTGTCACCCATTCTGAAGTGCAGTTGCATGATCTCAGCTCACTGCAAACTCCACCACCGTGCCTGGCTAATTTTTGTATTTTTAGTAGAGACAGGGTTTCACCGTGTTGTCCAGGCTGGTCTCGAACTCCTGACCTCAGGTGATCCACCCACCTCGGCCTCCCAAGGTGCTGGGATTACAGGCGTCGGCCACTGTGCCCAGCCCTTTGTGGTATTTCTTCTGATTTAAAATTTGTCTCTGCCAGTAGTGTTTGTGTATAACCTTGTCACTATAGAGCAGATGTAAGGCTGAGTAGCTAGTGTACGCAAAGAAAGCATTCTACCCGTTCCAAAGTAGTTACAGAATAGAAGAAAACTGAGGATGTCTTTGGTCTGCACATATGGTATATGTTTTTGTAGTGGGTAAACATACAGACAGTGAACGATCTGTCCTCTAGACATGTAAAGCCTTCATTGTTAGTTTTCCTGATCACTTCCATGATGCATTTTGGCTCTTTCAGAAATCAAGTGTTTGTAGTGTGTGGTTCTCCTGTCTTTCATTACAGGGGCCAGACACCTGCTGAGTCGGATTTCCAGGTGCTCGAAATTGCTCGAAAGTTGGAAATGTATGGCATCAGATTTCACATGGCTTCTGACAGGGAAGGAACCAAGATTCAACTGGCGGTTTCCCACATGGGTGTACTCGTGTTTCAGGTAGGCCAGTGGGAAAGGGAGGGGTGAGAATAGGGCAAGGGAGGTATTCTGCAACCTGGTGGGGTTTGTTCTTATAGATGTTGGTAAATTTTTGTCCTGATGAGTAAGGTCCTCGATTTGGAAGAGGGGCTTTGCATATCATCCAATCCAACCTCTTACTCAGTGGGGAAATTATTCTTTTGTCCTTCTCTGACACAGGTGTGAATATCCTCCATATCATGGAGCCCACTGCTTCCTGGGACTGCCTCCCGCCTCCCTGGATTCCCCACTGCCTCTGGGACTTCCCATTCCCTCCTGGGATTCCACCTACCCCCTTAGAATCCTAAAACACAACCTGTTTTTTTTCCAGTGGAGCAGTCTCTGTGCTGTGGGTGTGATCTGTGCTGGACTGTGAACACTTTAGAGTGGGTCACAGTAACCGTTGAAGTAAACAAACTAGAATAGAGTAGGAAATAGCAGAGGGATTGCTTGTGATAAGAGTCAGTGTTGTCTTCTGAGGTGTTTGTATTAGTTGTGATGCATGGGTAAATAATTACATCAATGGTGAGCACGGCCTGCTCAGTTCCATTTGTGGTCATGTGTGTGTGTGCTGGGGTTTGTGATGTCCAAGAAGCTTAAGTGTGACTGCTGGTGCCAACTAGAAGGAGCTTTTCTTCTTATTCAGGCCCTTCACATATCTGAAAACTCTTGTTGGGGCTCCCTACGTCCTCTTGCACCCAGACTAAATATTTCCAACTTGTCTGGGCCCCTCCTTTTGGGGGCACTCCAGTCACTGGCCCTTGTAAAATTTTGCACCTCTGATAGACTATGGTAATCCCGAAAAGGTCTCCTCGATGCTGAATGTTGTGGGAATTGTCACTGTTGCAGTCTGGGAGCCCATTGCCTGTGTGACCTGCTGTTTTTTTGTGGGCTTGTTTTAACCTGTGACTATCAAAAAGAGCTTGGTCTGATTCAGACTTCCCTCATCAAGCCATGTTTATTATTGTTTTCTTTTCCTTATTTTTTTTTTTTAACCTAGCCATCAAGTTTCAATTTCCTGTCAGAAAAAAAAAATTAATTTTGAATTTAGAATATTGTGTTACATTTCATACTAAATGTGATTAGAGAACAGTAAAAGTCCATGATAGAGACCAACCTTAGCAATCCATGCCTTCAGGTGGAGGGTCTGAGCATCCCCTGCCTACATCTGCTGATGAGTGTACCCCCATTGCACAGAGATGGAAACCTCACATCCAAACTGAGCCATTGTCACATTTCCGGAAAAAAAACAAATAATACAACCTAAAGAAGTTGTAAAAGCACGGGATTAGAAACTTCAGATTGAAGATAGCAGACTGAATATATGTATTTATTTTTATTCCCTGAAAACCCTGAACACAATGACAGTGAAGGCATTTTTTAAACATTTAAATCCATAAGAACAAAGAATGGGAAAACAGCCCATGAAAGATGAGGGATAGCAGCAATGTTTGGAAGCTGGGAAATGACACAGTGAGTGGGGACCTGACTGCAGAGTAGGGAAGGCTGAAATCTCACAGCCTGCAGTGGCAAAGTCACAGTGCAAGCCAGCGTGTCCCAGGAGCCCCAGGAAGGGCTCCCAGTTCATGCTCAGGAGAAATAGGAATGCTCCTTCCTCAGAAATGTAAAATGTTATCTTGTAATTTTTTATATCAGCCTTGTTTGTGATAGTAAAATTTTGTGAATTAACCATTGGAAAGCCAGTTGAATAGCCTGGCACAGTGGTTCACACCTGTAATCTCAGCACTTTGGGAGGCTAAGGTGGGCAGATTGGCACATTGCTTGAGTCCAGGAGTTTGAGACCAGCTGGAGCAACATGGTGAAACCTCATCTCTACTAAAAATACCAAAAATTCACTGGGTGTAGTGGCATGTACCTGTAGTCTCAGCTACTCAGGAGGCTGAGGTGGGAGAATCACCTGAGCCCAGGAGGTCGAGGCTACAGTGAGCCAAGATCGTGCCACTACACACCAGCCTGGGCACCTAAATAAGTAAATAAATAAAAGCCAGCTAAATAAATGGTGGTGCATCCATGTGAACAGAATATTGGGCAACTGTACAAACAAGGAAGCAGCTCTTTATATCCCAATAATGAGACATCCTTCAAGATCCATCATTACATGGAGAAAAGATTCAAAACTCTATATGGTAGCTACTGCTTGTGGGGAAAAGAGAGAAAATTATATGTGCACTATATTCCACACTATAAAATGAACTGGTGACATTAATGGCCCCAGGGAAGGGTGGCCAAACTGGCAGGCTTTAGAACAATGCTGAGAGGGAGACTTGCACTATGGACTCATTTTTGAACCTTCAGAATTTGAGCCTTGTGAATATATCACCGTATTACATTTTCACAAAACCTTCACAGAAATGAAACACTGCGTCTCTGAAACGAACAGGATGCCATGACAGAAACAAATGGAGAACATAAAAACATTTGCAAATTAAAATATAGGCTGCCCCAGTCCATCCCCACCCCGTGTCGCCTACCTGGTCTGCACGCCAGGCAGGGGTCATCAAGCCTCTTTGTCCTGCAGAGTTGTGCTGGCAGATGTTCTGCTACTTTTTAGCAGGTTTTCAGCCTGGCCCCACATGCAACAATAGGAACCCAACCCCAGCAGACCTTGGGCTCTACAATTTCGTCTCCATCATCCGCAGAGGTATGGCAGCCTCAGTTCTAAGTGCAGATATTTAAAATTGTAATATAGGAGGATCCAAGATGGCTGATTAGAAGCAGCTGAGGTCCACACCACTCACGAAGAGGAAAGAAAAGGGGTGAGTGAATTCACCTTCAACTGAAATATTCAGGTTCTCGCACTGGAACTAACTAGGCAAACAACTCAACCCACAGAGGATGAAGAAAAGCGAGGGTCGGGGTTAATGGCCCACCCAGGAGCAGTGTGGAGCCAAAGGAACCCCACCCCCAGGCAAGGGAAATGGTGAGTGAGTGTGCAACCTCGCCCGGGAAACCACACTTCTCCCGCAGATCTTTGCAACCCACAATCAGGAGATCCCCTCATGAGCCATGCCACTAGGGCCTGGGGTCCAGTACACAGAGTTGTGTTCAGTCTCAGCAGAGCAGCCACTGAGTCACACACAGAGACCCAGGAGTTTCACACACTTCAGCCCCAGGACCCCCAGCAAGGTGGGAAATCTGTTTGTACAAATCCCTAGGAAGAGGGCTGAATCCAGGGAGCCAAGCAGTGTCATTCTGTGAGGCCCACTTCCACAGCACCTCACAAGTTAAGACCCACTGGCTTGGAATTCTAGCCAGCCAACAGCAGCAGGCTGGAAATCTGCCTGAGATGGATCCGAGTTCCTGCGGGAGAGCGGGGTGGCCACCATCTCTGTAGTTCAGTTGACTCAGCCATTTCAGCCTGCTGGCTTTGGAGAATATAAACAGTCTGGATAAGGAAGAGTTCCCCCAAATGCAGCATACCTACTCTGCAAAAAGCAGCCAGGCTGCTGCTTTAAGTGGGTCCCTGACCCTGTTCCTCCTGACTGGGTGAGCCACCCCCTACAGGTGCATTTGGGCCAGCAACAAGTCAGTACCCTCCTGGCACAAAGCTTTTAGAGGAGGAAGCTGGCTGCCATCTTTTCTGTTTCACAGACTTTGCTGGTGATACCTCCAGGTACAGGAAAAACCAAGGCATCTAGGGTCTGCTCCAGACTCCCAGCAAACCTCAGAGGCCCTGTGATAGAGTGGCCTGACTAGTAAAAGAAAAATAACAGGCCAGGTGCGATGGCTCACACCTGTAATCCCAGCACTTTGGGAGGCTGAGGCTGGTGGATCACTTGAGGTCAGGAGTTCAAGACCAGCCTGGCCAACATGGTGAAATCCCATCTCTACAAAAAATACAAAAATTAGCTGAATGTAGTGGTGGGCACCTGTAGTCCCAGCTATTTAGGAGGCTGAGACAGGAGAATCACTTGAACCCGGGGAGGCAGAGGTTGCAGTGAGCTGAGATCGCATCACTGCACTCCACACTGGGCAGCAGAGTGAGACTGTCTCAAAAAACAAATACCTGTAATCCCAGCACTGTGGGAGGCTGAAACAAATCCCCTGAAGTCAGGAGTTTAGGACCAGCCTGGACAACGTGGTGAAACCCCATCTCTACTAATAATACAAAAAAAAAACTTAGCCAGGCATGGTGGCAGGCTGAGGAGGGAAAACTGCTTGAATCTGTGTGGCAGAGGTTGTAGTGAGCTGAGATTGTGCCACTGCACTCCACCCTGGGTGACAAAGTGAGACCCTATATCAAAAAAAAAAAAAAAAAAAAAAAAAAAAAACAGAAAACAACAACAACATGAACCAAAAAAACCACTAAAAACCCCATTCAAAAGTCAGCAACCTCAAAGATCAAAGTTTGATAAACCCACAGAGATGAGAAAATCAACACGAAAAATGCTGAACACTCAAAAAGTTAAAGTGCCTCTTCTCCTCCAAATGACCACAACACCTCTCCAGCAAGGGAGAAATAGAAATGGGCTGAGGCGGAGATGGCGTTATTGACAGAAGCAGGCTTCGGAAGGTGGGTAATAATGAACTTTGCTGAGCTAAAGGAGCGTGTTGTAACCCAATGCAAAGAAGCTAAGGACTGTGATAAAACAACACAGGAGCTTATAGCCAGTTTTGAGAGAAACATAACCAACCTGATGGAGCTGAAAAACACAACATGAGAACCTCACATTGCAATCACAAGTATCAATAGCAGAATAGGCCAAGCAGAGGAAAGAATCTCAGAGCATTTAAGACTATCTTTCTGAAATAGGCAGACAAGAATAGAGAGAAAAGAAGGAAAAGGAATGACAAAACCTCCAAGAAATATGGGATTATGTGAAGAGACCAAACCTACAACTAATTGGGTTACCCAAAAAAGACAGGGAGAGTGGAACCAAGTTGGAAGACGTACTTCAGGATATCATCCAGGAGAATTTCCCCAACCTAATAAGACAGGCTAATATTCACATGCAGGAAAT